GTGTAAAGCACCTAGTGCTAAATAGCTGCAATTGAATGCTTGGCATGTGTTAGGCTTTTTATATGATCAGATATTTCCTTGTATAAATCTTTTGCTGAGTTCTTTATTCAACACATGATGCAAGTTGGGAAAAAAGGGTTAAACATATTTGTGTTCACACTTAACAATAAGCAGTATAGTATTAATACATAAAGCATTATGTTGTATTCGTCTACACATTCTAATGTCTCTGATTGTTGGATGGATTTTCTTTAGTAGTAGGCCTAATAATAATAATAAATGTAATTTATATAGCGCTTCTCATCTGCCAAGACAAATCTCGAAGCGCTTCACAACAAAGGACACTGATACAATTTGAGAGATTAAACAAATAATAATAGTAATAAGAAAAAATAAGAAAATAAATAAAATAAAATATTAAATAAATAAATAAAAATAAAAGTCGGAGATAGCGATAAAAATGGCAGCTCAGTAGTGAATTGACAGTGTCTAGTCTCGAAATAAAAATCTTCTATAGCTTAGTTGAAGTGATACCTGCTCCGTATAAAGCTTCAATATACTAATGGGAACTTCAATAAAGGATTCTTTCAGCTTTCTCTTACTTCACTCTTATTTCCTCTGCCAGAGAGGTCATTTCTTTGGTTCTGTTCTTTGGCTTGATTCTGTTTTCTCGCTGGATAATGGAAAAACTATTTTTAGGCAATTTTAATGAATCTTGTTTAAAGGGTGTGGCATGGGTCACAAAATCTGTCATAGCATTTTTGGAACGAATCCGAATCACTGGGCGGACACACGCATTATTTTTCACTTACGGAAATGTTCCTGGCGGAGGTCTGCTCTCTTCGAGTACTCTTTTGAGTTTTCATAGTTTTGGTGGTTATTTCGATCTATAATAACAACAGTACACTCACCACATGAGATCTGGAAATGCAGTAATGTTGAAAAAAGCCAGACTATGCACATGTCACATGTAATTGGGTGATTATACATGTTTTAAACAAACCTCCAGGGTATGCATTTGAAAGAGAAAAAGGTCAAATTAGGATTTTGATGTCTTTCATAAATACCACTCAAAGTTAACGCAGCTGCTCTCTGCTTCATCTTTGACTCGCCACATTTAGTGTATTCATTCTAACTATTATAAAAATGATGGCCAAAAACAAACAAAGATGAATGTTTAATCCATAACCGCTTTATAATCAATTAAAAGTTGACTACTTTCTTGCCAAACCTGGTGCTCGCATTAACCACAATTCCACTGGACTGCCAATATATTTTAATAGAGTTTTTTATAGAGTTATATCCTTCCTTGAAATAAAATACATATTTGGCCTTACTCTGCAATCGTACTGACTCGGGCTGTCCTCAACTAAAGGAATTCAGTCAACTAACAATCACACGACTAACCAACTCGTTGATTTATTGAAAGATGTGTCAAACTGAGTTTCTCCACATTGAACCGTGAAAAAGAGCCACTTTTTTACCAATTAGACTAGAAATTCACTTCTTAAGTCCCTTAATATTGACCGTGGCAAACAGATTCACAGATGCTGCCAAGGGACAGAGAAAGACAATGTGATGCTAATTAGGAACTCATTGGTTCACAAAAACAACCAGACTTCTGTTAATAATTTGAAAATACAATATGAAAATGGCACAGCAGGTCGATTGGGTTTATTTATATGATCCTCACCCTGCCCCACAGACTCCTTTGTACGTTAATCATTAGATCACACCTGTAAAACCGTCTCAAAGAACAAAGGACTATTGTGAGCTAATCTGGACATCTGAATGTGCAATCATACATACCAGAGCTTCAAAAAGACCTTTAAACATTAAAGATATAATCATTACACTAAAGCATGTTGGACTAATGCACTTTCATGCTTTTGACGAAACGGAAACTAAGATATGATTACGCTTGACGAAGTGGATATCTATACAACCACATCATTAGTTTACTCATTTATATGATGCATGCATGCACAAAGCTAAAATATTCTCAAGGTAAACAGAGTGACACACTTCAAACTGAAACACAGACATGGCTGTATTTTCCTTTCACTCACTCACTCACACGTGTGCTCTAGTCTATAGAAAATGAAGCAGCTATTGGTTTACCAGTGTTGCTGTTATCCTATTACAGGACAGAGGGTGAAAGCTGTCATCATCTGTGTGTGATATCTGAACGTCTAAACTAAGGGAAGTGTGTCTCACACACAGTGAATGTGAGTACACACATACTGTTAACAAAGTGGCATGTGTTCACACCTCTTCATTCCTCATCTTGTATTTCACTCTGAGCGTTTACAAAACATTACATCTACAGATTGAGGAGGCGGGGCTGGTGCATGTTTGGTTTGATACACTTTGGGATCAGGTTTGGGGTCGTGAGGTTTTCATCGTTAAGACTGGAAAGGGCCCAAAGTCCTGGGCATCTGCAGAGGACAGATTGAGTCCAAACGGTCTCTCTGCTCATAGCTTAGGGCCAGACGCTGCTTAAGTTACCGATATCGCGACACCAGTAAGTCAACTTTGAACTCCCCCTCTTCTAGCGCCAAGCCTTAGTAAGCCAGAGAGAGGAGTGGCTGGTAGTGTACGCGTTTATGAGTTATGAAGTGATTAAAAGACAGCCTGTAGGTGAGGAATAGGTGCATATGTAGGCTTTGCACGTCCATAGACAAGTACAGACCCAACAAAGACCTGTGGCAGAGCAAAGCAGATATATACAGTATATCTTAAAAAAAATGACTTTTCAGTTTAGTTTTATGACTGTTTTTATTGCGGTTTCTGCTGTGAGTCACGGACTAAAATAAATTTCCCTCTGTCAAAAAGGACAGTTTTTTTTTTCTGACCTTTTATGTGTTCTGATCAGCAAGAAGTTAGTGGATTCGTCATCAGCTCTGGGAGACAGGCCGCCCTGCTGTGTACCTGCTGAAGACGCAGCTGAGAGGGAGCTTGCTATCTGCCTCATTACAACCGTATTACACCCTGCTGTAGATGTGACAAGATGTCTCAGCTTTCTGCCCTGAAGCCTCCGCCTCCGGTCTTGTAAGCCTCAGCAGAACATGAACGCTGATTATATCGACCCAGATGTGCATGTTCCTTACTGAGCATTGCACTGACTGCTTGATGCTTTTAGTATCGTTTGAATGTAGACATTTTAAGTGAGGTTTGTTTCTCTTATTGAGGTCATGTTTGATTCCTCTTGTGCTTCTATTGGTGTCCTTATTTGCTGGTTATCATGTCAAGCTTCTATAAGGAAGTTGCCTTGATAGATTATGATCATCATTAGTGTCTATTTGATGATATCAAACTAAATATCTTTGGACTGTTTGTCACACATAATATTACATGTATTATTGGGCTCTGTATTGCGACTGGCATTTATATTATTTTCTGCCACTAAATAGACGATTGTTATTCAAAATAATTGAGATGGTGAAAATAAGTTATTGTTGTGCTGTTTAGTAGCGACCATTTTTAGTATAGAGACGATAACGTTTTTTTTGTAATGTTTATTGAGGCAATGCAAACATTATTCAGTTTACCCTGACAAGAATGAACCATGACAAGTTTACTTTGTGAATCCTTCAGATTGAGCTGCCAGGATTACATACTGTATGGATGTGACTGATGGTGCCTAAGAGGCAGTCTGACTCTGAAACACCTGAGAGGTTAAATGGAGCCCCTCTTCAGGAGGGGAAACATTCCTGTGTGACAGCATGGGGCTCTGTGATGGCCTCGGGGTAGAAGTTGAGAGGTGGAGGAGTAAACTGAGACACCGGGAGTCACAATCCTCCCGTGCCTTTCTGCTCCTCTGAGATTCTCCCTTCTTTTTTTTTTTTGTCTTAAAGAAGATTATCCGTCGTTCTCTGCTCAGCTTCTTTGCAGCCGGCAGAGCTGCAGCCACACCTCACTGTGATGTCACTCTGTTTGCATCATATTTATTTAGCCATCATCACAAAGGCTGCCACATAAAAACATAGCAATGACATAAAGAGAATGATGTCATTGCTTCAAGGACATGAGGGGGCGTTTGATTTCTAAGAAAACGGCATGTTTTGATGTTCCCCCTGTTGTCCTGCTTTTTCCTATTTCCATTGCCCATTTTCTTGCTTGCTCTCTCTGTGTTGTTATTTTGGTCCATTTTTGTACGTTAACATCTTGTCATTCAACCTCCTCTTCCTCCGCTAATTCATAAGTAATGACCATGCAGCAGCAGCAGGCAGAGCAGCGGAGCAGACATGCCGGCTGGCCAGGCCTCGTCCCAGCGGACCAGAGCCACTTATCTCTCACAATAATGACATATGCATCGACTGGCTTTAAGAAAGTGGCTTCCCAGTATTTGGGAAGTCTCCCACGTTTCTTTTCTCCGCTATAATTGACTGTCTTAACGAACAACATATTTCATGCATAAGAAGTAATTTGCTTGCCAAAACAATATGAATCAAGGATAACACTGACATCCAAAGTAAAACTGACATTACAACAAAAACATATTTACAATCATGATTCATGAGTGTGGATATTGTCATTATCAACCCCTAATCTAATCAAACTACTCATACAAAACATATGCATGTTCCTTTTAATACGTGTTTTTTCGGAGGAAGCATTTTTCTCAGCTTTGGCTGCTCACATTTTGCAACATCGATCTCATCTGGTTACTTAATACTGGAAAGAAACAGTATCGCCACCTATAAAAAGCCCTATCACCATCAGTTCAGTTCTTCTTCATAGTCCCATAGGGGAAATCGGACTTGCAGCAGAGCACAAATAAACAGTAACAGAAAACATATAACAAGAAAAGAAGAGAACAAAACTTTCAAAGATGAATTTGTAGGCTTTTTGCAGTGCTGCAGTCCTAAATGTTTGCAGAAAAATGCCTAAATGCAAGGTTACCTTTTGTGCAAATTAAGCATGTTTTTTGCACTAGGACTGTGAGAGATGATTCTCCTTGACTGACCTCTCCTCCCCTCTCCTCCCTCCTCTCTCAGATGACATGGCGTCCTCAGTACCGCAGCTCCAAGTTCCGCCACGTGTTCGGTAAGCCCGCCGTCAAGGATAGCTGCTATGACGGCGTGCCAATCACACGCAGCGTCCAGGACAACAACTTCTGTGCCGTCAACCCACGTTTCCTGGCAGTCATCACCGAGTGCGCCGGGGGAGGGGCTTTCCTGGTCCTGTCCGTCCATCATGTGAGTATCTCCATCTCATGGCAGCTTTTACTCCCTGATGTCAGCTTTTTAAAGGAGCATTCAGGATGCTGATAATGGATACTGTGATGTGTTTTGTAGATATGTGCCCTGAAGGGAGACATTTATTTTTGCTATGAGGGTAGAAAAAAGCAAGGAATAGTCTAAATATAGACATTTAAGCAATAGATGGACATTTCTCTAGTTGAAAAACAGCTGAAGATAAACTTTACAATCTAAGGCAATCAAAGACAACAGCTTTGCCATGAATTGTGCTTTTGCAAAGCTTTCGAAAATTCAATATTTGTTGACACCGTCAGAAAGTTGGTAATGTTTATCATTGAGGTTGTAATGGAAGGTGTTGTGCTATACTGCATTATGTTAAAAGGTGAACTGAAAATACGTCTGCAAACAACAATTACATTTTACATTCCTTCATACAAAATTCCCCTAAATAGTTACCTGATCCAGCTCGAGGCAAATTGGGTCATGTTCCCTGTAGTTCATCATAGTTATTATGCTGCTTAATGTTTCAACTAGCTTCCTAGCAAGCTTAAAACAGGAGACATCAGGAAAATCAACATAAAACATTTCCCCATAACTGAAATTAGCTTCGACCAAAAGTTGGGAAGTTTCAGAAAAAAGTGTAGCAATGGAATTTCACATTAGAAATGATTATGGTGAGAACATTATTACCCTCGGCCATGGAGGTCGTGTTTTTGGTTTGGTTTGACTTTTTTTAAACAGGATTACGGAATAAACTACGATTTGTAATTTTCATGAAACTGGGTCATGGAAGAAACAATAAAATGATCGAACGGACCATAATCACAGGGAGGTATAACAAATGCTTTTCCCTTCCGTTAACATTGCGAGATACTGCGTTTGGTCTCAGCAGGGATCTCAGGTCTCTGCTTTTCTACTTAAAATAACTTTTTCTCTTTGGTAAAAAGAACAATTAATCTGCTGAGTGTTCGACATCTCTCATGGTTTCTCTTTGCTCGTGCACACAGCACACCTGGGAAAGAAAGATCTGCTCTCAGATTATAAATAGGACAGCAGCAGTGGAGCCAACGCAAATACCAGGAAACCCCCGGCAGCTGATTAACTTCAACCTAAACATTGCATGTGGTCTTCTTTTTACTCATCATTATTCTGCCTTATCTCCCCCACCAACTTCACCTTAAACATGATCAATCAAACACTCTCCATGACGTTATTTATGCATATTATCACATCCACCGGTGTTATCAGCAACAACAGTGATCCTTCAAATAAACTCAGCCAGACTTCCTTATTGTGTGCCAGTAAAATGTACAGTCCTGCTGTATGTCTCCAGTCGAGAGCGATTTATCAAGCTCCCTCCCTTCTCCCTCTCTCTGTCTGTGTCCAACTTTTAAATTATCTTTGACATATCACCAGCCTCCTAGCTTGGGCAGGAATTGCATACGTGCTCAGGAATGACATAACTCATCGTTTGACCTCCCTCTTTCACCATCTCGAGGAGGTGAAACTTCCCCCCTCTGCCGCCCTTCACCTCCCATCTTTGTGTGTGAGCTGAGTTCTGTGGAGAAAGTAGTTAAAACATAAACACAAGAACAGTGCTTCTATGTTCTACTTTCTTGTGCATATGTTAGGTTTGCTGTAAAGCACAGGTAGTGGTTACATCATCCCCATGCAGACACACCTTACCTACACAGTAATCAAGCCTGCAGGTGTGTTTGAGTGTGTGTCAGTAGGAAGGTTCTGTTCATACTAACTGCATAATTAGCAGACTTGTCCAGGCAGAAAATCTTCAGCAGAACTCTCTGACTTCTCCCTTGTAACAGGATCATGAAATACCAGGGCGTGTGTCAAACATTTTGTGTAGCTCTGACTGTAGTTTGAATACTTTCATTTAAATGTCATGAAGAGTTTGACTGCTCTGTAGCTTGTACTCATATGTGAAGATCTTGTCCTGTTAAGATATTTAGAAACTAGCTTGCTATCTGTCTTTAAATCTGCACTAATAAATATGTTTTATATTAAAGGGAAACTCGGCCTATTTGGTCAGTCAGTTTACAGGTCTTAGGCTTGAATTTCGATAAATTACCTCAAGGGACGTCATTTGAGTCTACATTGTTTGTACATTGTCTTATTCTAAAGACTACAAGTTTGAAACCCCCCTAACATCGTCACGGAGGTGGAGTTATAAAGTGGTGAGCTTACTTACCTCTTCAGTCCACTCCTCTACAGGCTACATTAGCTGCTACTAGCATTACACACCTGAATATCTCCCTGTTTGTGGTTGAGTTGCATTATGGTTAATGTAGGAACCAGGTTTTGACAAAGAATAAGACCATTTCTCCTGATTTCTATACACGTGTCCAACAAACGCGGACAGTAGGCAGAGGTAGCAGCCGATTTGAATAGTTAGCATAAAGTGGCCAGGACTCTATCCAAGACTGGCCAAAATATAATTTGGCTGTAACAGGTTAACTCATTGTCTTACACTTTTTTGTAAAGATTTAACAAAGAATATACAGTATAATGTGCTTTTTGAGCTTAACATGAGCTGGTGATATAGCGCTTTCCCCCTGCTTCCAGTCTTAATACTGAACTAGCTAGCTACATATTTACTGTACATAAATGAAAGTGTCTATTGCAATAAAACATAGAGCACTTTTATCAGAATGTCAGACTAACTCAATGATATAAATGTTTTGGCTTTTATATTTCAGTATTTTATCCTCTTTTGTTTGTTTGTTTATCAGACAGGTAAAGTGGATCCTCACCAACCCCGCATATCGGGCCACAGAGGAAATGTGTTAGACGTCAAATGGAATCCATTCAACGACTACTGCATCGCCTCCTGTTCTGAGGACACCACGGTTTGTACAAACACACACCCACCTAAAGTACAAATAGTTCACTGATGTGTTATCATTTTCCTTCATTATGAGCGTGTAGCAGCAGGGAGATTATTCTATTGCCTTGCTGTTTAGCCTTCAAGAAGTAATTCCTCACATTCCTCAGCCATGACTTGGCTCACAAGAAATCAATGTAGGCTACAAAGAAAGAGAAAGGAGAGTGATATAAGACCATTTATTTAAAGTAATTTATTTCTCGTATCCAGTGGACCCTCAATTATTTATTGAATCGTTATTTGTCATAGATTTAGACATATTGATTTTGTTCGTTTGTGATCTCTCTTACAGTGGTGTATTCAAAGCCTTCACTAAAAAGTGCTGATGCCGCTCTGTAAAAATGCATTGGAAATTAACTAAAAGTATGTAAAAACTATTTTAAAAAATGCACTTAAAGTTAAGTAAAAGTACTCATCATTACTGATACAAGCATTCATGTAAAAGCTGAATTTTATGGTTGCAGTCGGTTGAAGTTTTTTTTCTGCCATTTCGCCTTTATCAAATCAATGACGGAGAGAAAGGAGAAATGGCGCTTAATTGTACAAAATTGGAAGCATTACATTTTTGCACATCAATCAAAAAGAATGTTTTTTTATATTGGCTTATGAACAAATCAACTAGT